AAAAAAGGTACTATACTATAATACAGCCAGAGGTAGGATTATTTCACAGCCGAGCTAGTAGATTTTGACACACTTCGAAACTCCATTCACAAGAGACGCGTGACATACGTGTGCCGGATATTCATTGTAACCACCTGTTAAATGATTAGCAAGAATGATGGTGCTGGGTGAATTTTGTAAGCGGATTTCAACTATGTTTAGTTGTCATGACAATGATACCAGGTGGGGGATGTTATAAAAGGTCAAAGTAGATGCAGCCGCAAACGGAAAAGACACTACGAAACGAGGCAGCAGCAGCAGCCAGAGCCAGCCTTGTGATGTGAGTTAACGTGGGAGAATAAGTCCATCTCTACATGGTGAGCCGGTTACTCGCCTAGTTAATGGACTTGACTTGTTTCCTATGTGCAGTTCTACTGACCTTCTGTGTTCGACATGACTTCTACAAAGTATTCTACGAGAAACCAGGCCCAGGTAGCAACATTTCTACTATAGCCCGACAGAAGCCGGTAATTATCACGCTCGTTACACACACATTAGGGAAGGGACCATTGGCTGTTTTTTTAATGTTATTTTTGGTAGTTATTTGTGTAATTTATTGGCGGAATTATTGTATTCTTATTTGAAATTGTAATAGCATTAGTTTTATTGTATTTTATAACGTCCTGTTTCTTGCTTCGAAGTTTTGCGCGCCTGTCGGCGCAGTTAAGTAGTTGCGTCGTTACATAAATAAGGTCTTGCCCATTGTGATCCATCCCGGTTTGAGGTTGAGTATATGGGTTACCTATGGGACGCAACTGCTTTATTCTGTCCTGACATGTGGTTAATTTTTCCTATTGTACAGTGAATTCATATTTCTCTGTGTACTATTGATATCATAAAACAGCTGTAGAATTAAAACATCCTTTACGTTATTACTGTGCATCTCATTGTGTGCGAGTGGGTCTGGTATGATAATAATTTATACAGGGGACAACCAACTAATCAGTACGGCGTTAAAGAACCCACAACACAAGGTGAAGGCGTGCCTCTTTATATTTGTGGTCGGATGCTAGCCTACCCTGTGGAGCTGAAATGATATGGAGCATTTATGTACTTGTTTAAACACCAGAGCTGTACACATCAAAATATCAAAGTCATTAAATATAGATACATGTCTGAAGGCATATATGTGGTTTGTTTGTTCAATGTAACACAGTTCGATCGTCATCGAAGATGCTACCAAGATAACAACTTTGTTGCTGCTAAAGGAGAATTGGTGGCTGTATCAGCAGTAATGGAGAGACAGTGAAACAATTATTGCTGAAGGACAGCTGTGACAAGATGAATGTCCCACACACATGGGAGGAGTGTGGGAGAGAATGATCAGATCGACAAGTAAAGCTCTGTCATCTCTACTGACAGTAGGCAGTTTCATGCTTGGTCACCAGTTATTCTCAACCCTAATGCTTGAGACAGAAGCCATAGTAAATAGTCAACCTTTCACATATATTGATTTAGTTTGGCTGGTGCACTATAATCTCTCTCAAAGATCGTTCTACCACCATCAGGCATAATCCATAAAGAGGATGTATATTGTCACTGTCATTGGAGATGTGTATAGTACTTTGCCAATAAGTTTTGGAGCCGTTTTTACCCATTTCATAAGAGCCCGAAAAGTGGATACCAGACAAATTTTCAGAAGGATGATGTCGTAATCCTCCTGGATGGTAAAAAGAATGGGACTTCGATCAAGAATTTGTATACATATATAGGATTTGATCACACAAAGATGTTTGTGTACAAGCATTAGTGTATACTTTACGGATGGATAAACATGGTAAGATGAAGTGATTAGTGGCAACCCTGCAACATGTTTTGATATTGCCTCTAACAACTGCCACATCTTCACAATAACTCAAGGTTGGTGCAAGCCCAACCGCCAACAAGTGGTTGATAATAACAGTACCCAGCATTGTAATAAACAAAGGGTTCACATTAAAAAAAAATGTCGTGTAGCTAAAAATGCATTTGGTAATCCATTAAGAGTGGTATCATGCATTCAATGTAGCCCTAATTCTAATTCACCAATTTAAAGGCCCTGCTTTAAATAACTCGATTGAGACACAGTCTATGGATGTAACGAAATAGTTACAGCCAAGACACATAGAGGGAAAAATGGGTGTGGACTCTGCAGGGATCGCTACATGCCAGTTGTAAAAACTGGGATTAACAACGGTATGGTAACAGTGCTGGGAGATTATCCTCCTGTACCTGGAAGTGCCCATAGGAGGATCCACCCCATAGGGCAGGGGGTGTGAAAATCTGGAAATCTGACTCAGCAAAGGCATACTCTAGTGGGTGAAACAGTGTGGTTACAAGGAGTAGGTTTGTGCACAGGTCAAAGCCTGTAGTATCTGAGTCTGTGATGGATTTGAGACAGTGTCATTAGGAAATACATGTGTTATGGAACAGAAAGTACAAGCCAAACATAGGGAGATATACAAAAAGGATTTTGACAAGAAAGCTAGACCTATAATACTCAAAGAGGGTGACCAGGTACTAGTACTATCTCCCATAGCTCCTAATAAGTTGAAAATGTGGGGGCAGGGACCATATGAAGTTTAAGTACAGGTTAGTTCAGTAGAATATAGAATCGAAATGGGTGGAAAATTAAAGTTATATCATATTAAGATGTTAATCATTATGAGGTGAGCCTAACATAGGGGCTGATTATTTGAGGTGAAGTACTGAATAAAAGTGTTAATAATAGAAAATAATGATCGGCTAGATTTTTTCATCATATGCTACTATCACTAACTTGAAGGGAAAGTGTGCTTGGAATTATAAGACTATTGTTAGACTTATTGTGTTATATTTGATGTGAATTGGATAAAATTGTTATGTTAATCCTTTTAATGGTTCCATCTTAGCAGAGATTTTACGATGTACAGTCTTGGGGTAAGTGTACAGTCTTATCTTTTGGTAAGGCGAGTTATTGTATTAATCAAAACTATACATTGAAATTGAGAATACCTAAGATTACAGACGTACACAATGTATATTACATTCATTCTCGAACTATCTAGTATCTAGTTGATGATGGAAGGACTCGACAAATGTATTTATAGAAAGAAAGTATATGGAAACGGTATGGCTGAACTGATTGGCTGATTTTCTCATTAAACCTATAGAAACTATCGCCTTTATAGGGTACTGTGTTCGAATAAACATACACGCGTATATAAATTTACTGAGGTAATTGATGTGTCTGGGAAGGATGTCGACCGTATACGGAAGGTAGTATGAACTGGTGATCTTTTTTCGGATGGTGACATCGGGAAAACGAAGCCAAGCCAGAAAATAGAGTACATACAGTAAAATGGTTGTCCATGGTGTTGGCTAAACGACTAAGCCCAGAGAGGAAACAAGGGAACTCAGGTCCTGTGTTTATGTCTTAATCTGTCAGAGTCTATCTGGCCGGGTTTCTCTGAGTCTCTCTAAAGTAACATGTCTTTTTATAAGGTAAATCACGTGATACATTGATACATCACATGACTCAAAACAACTTTTATGACAGGACAGTGATTCAATACACCCGCATAAATCTCCAGAAAAATACATTGAATGAAAATATCTAGTGGCCCAGCTGTGGTGATTTTTTTTTCAGTTAAAAAAAATTGGAAAATTAGTTTTGTGAAAGGTGGGGTGAACGCGAAACCGCCACAGTCTGGTTTTATTTTCAGCGAATCTGTTGCTATTATTTATTCATGATATGCAGTGACATCACTGAACGGATACAGAAAAGAAGTGGGGGCGTTATAAATAGTAATTCGTTTGTTATGATTGACGATCGAGAAACTTGAAAGAAAGTCTTCAGGTTAAGGTTAACTGGATATAGTTTTAAAGGTCAAATTATTTTGATTGGATAAAGTTCTTGCCTGTCATTCTGCTCATTAACATAAAAACTAGTATGAAAACACACTAGTTCCTGCTTTCACCACAGAGTCTGGGTGATTTCGCGGTTACAGATACGCTTGATATTGTTTCAATACAAGCGTCACCCGTGGGAGTCAGACAACGCTCATGATGGGTGTCCGTATGAGCGATATGACAGTACCTACGAGCAGGTGGATACGGGCAGGAGCATGCGGCACATGATCTGATTAAAGCGGGGGAGTCGTCACCTGCGCATGCGTCAGATGGCCATAGCGTGTCATTGTTTACAATCACGCGTCTACCCATGAGCCTTTGCTTTTTTAGCGTGTGTTGTTATCGTCGCTTGGGAGTCAATTCCTGCGCGTGCGCAGGTTACGACCCTCCCGCTTTAAACTACGACTTTGTTTAGATACCGCTCATTGGTGGATTGGACAACACCTTGTGTACATGTTTGTCGCATACGACTTGTTTACCACTTCTGTGTGACTGAGAATGTTCTAGAACCATACTGTGTCTGGGTGGAATTTTTAGATGTTGGTTGAATAGGTAATAGGACACTGTAGAAGGCAATAGAAGGTAATGGAACATTCTAGAAATTTGTAGTAAGTTCCAGACTCATTATGTATGCTGATGTAATGGTCTATTTATAGACAGTGTGGGTAAATATAGGGGAGTTGTTCAGCACTGAGATCAAATCGGAGATCTCGTTGAATTGTATTGGAGTTTAAGTATCTAGTTATTGGAGTAGTGGAGTTTTACCGCGTTATTGTACTTGATGTTTGCAGAGTATAATAATACCAGTACCAGTTGAAACCTCATCTGTTGGCTCCGTGTTCCTATTTTATCATCGCCGCCAGGGAAGTCTTTTGTTACTGTTGCCATTTTGGTATTTGAACCATCACACCTGTACTATACCAATTACGGCAATATTACGTTGCGTGTGACAATGTTGTTTAGCAATGGCTTGTCGCTATATAAACTAGAGCGTGATGTTACGTGTGATTGATTTTCCATTTGACATTTATGTTTCACGTAATGTTGAAACAAACTCTACGTAATGTGCATGTCTGTGTTCAGCGAACTGTCTACGACGTTTGTCTGTGTGCGACTACTCTTCGTCGCTGCGTCTGAGGCAGTGGATCACGACGGTTGACATCCTGAAGAACAATTGGTAACGTGAAATATAATATACCAAATCTTGGTGGTGGATGTATTATAACGAAAAATATTATTCTGAGAGAACTGTTTATAGTTGAAAATAATTTAGTGAGAATTGTGAGATCTATATTTATTATACGTTTTCAACAGACACAGTTATAAATTTTATTGTTTAATGTTTGTTTTTAATTTAACATGTGCACAAAATGATGCGTATGTTTGTATATAGTAAATGTTCATATAATTTATTTGAACGTGTCCCTTGTATCTATGCTTGAACTGGTCTATGTAATAATTTAAACGTACGTTTTAGCGACTTTTTATTCAGGAACCGTATAGTCATATTATGCGCCAGGTCAGAAGATAATAGTGACAGTGCATGACGAAAACTGTGATATAGCAGACTATTGAAAATAAGGTTGATTTCGTAGAGCAAGGGCCACTCACTTTATAATACAAAGCGAAGGAACGACATGATATACTACACGTTACTATACAGACCACTGAGACGTCAGTGGCGGATCCAGAGGGGGGGGGCAGGGGGCCATGCCCCCCCAAACGCATGACGATTCATATCATCTGGATTACTAGTACGCATAGCTTCTCTGCGATTTTCGTTCCGTATATCTTAAGCGAAGCTTCCCCCCCCCCCCAATACATTTTGCTGGATCCGCCACTGTGAGACGTTAATGTTATGACACGAGTACACATATATTATCGAGTAATGAATGCGACATTGAGTCTAATCATGTATATTTAAACAGTCGTGTATGTTTAATGATAATTAATTTCAAAGACGGTGAGCAGACATATACTTTATATTTCAGATATGTATTATTCGATATGCATTCTACTAAGGAAAATTGTCGTGTTAAACAGTGCCGTAGACATGACTGATGACATGTTATGTTATTTTTCATGAAATTATGAATTAGTTGCATTTCTCTCGCTTATTTAGATGATTTGATTTGTTTAGTTCGAGGTTTGACGATTGAATATAATTTTACGAAGGGTGGTTTTGATAATGTTCTTGAGTTAGATCCAATGACTGACAATTTATAAATATTTTCACGCAATTGTAGGGTACAATATTATTTGAAAACCTGAACGGAAAACTTATTTCATGAACACACTACAGCGGGATAACAAGGTCAAACATTACCTTACTTTGATTTCAGCTTTGTGAATTCTGATTGAAATCTAAATTACAGACATATATACGAACATGAAATTCGAACTCACAACACAGCAATGATTGAGTTCGATGCAAATGTGTTCTATTAAAAAATATAAACAAAACTGACGAAATCCCACAAACAAATAAAAATAAAAGGACACAACAAGAAACCAGTTCTTATAATATTTCCTGAATGTTGCTAGTTTAATATAATATTTACTAGTAGGTAGTGGGGGGGGGGGGGTAATATCACGGCTGAGATTCACGTGTGAGTGCGCCAATGACGACGTATAAGGGCGATGAAATGTCACTGTAAGTCATTGCACCCATCGCATTATGCACATATCAGTTCTATTTTTCTTTGATTTTGTAAAAAATGTCAAAACATTACATCAAGATATTATATATTAGTTCTGGTATTTGAATAGAAGATTCATATTTAAAAATAAAACTTAATTATAATCACTTACCTTGTTATAGTAACACAAGGTAGCAATGTTTGGGTGATGCTTAGTTTTCTTGAAACACTCAAACACATAGTTCTTTTTATTGTTATTGTCCCAGTATGTACCCCCGCTCGCCTCGAACGATATTGCCAGCTCTATGCGGTCCCCGGTCTCAAAAGATCTTGGGGGCGTGATACCGAACGCGAATCTGTCAGTTGGACCATCGCAGGAGCCCTTTATATAACACGCCTGGATGTCGTAGAAATTCTTCCATCCATTGGCAGTAAAGCGTACTTTAACTGTTTTATGAAAAGCGATGTTAGCCACTCGTACCGTCCCTACTATCGTCAGATCAGCAATCGCTACGTTTTCTAGGCATACTTTCTGGTTTTTGACGTTATCTAGGAATTCGGTGTCGGTACTTGAAATTGAAAAGCATGCCGTTAAGTACTTCTGCTCAGGATACTGATCCAAAAGGTGAACTTGCTTTTGTTGTTCACCTTGATCAGTCGCATGGCTTTTCGGATTTTCCAGTATTGTATGTTTTTTTTCCGGGCATAAAGTCGACTCCGGGATTAACTGCAACTGCTTACATGGAAAACTCTCGAAATTGCCCCGGGCACGGAATGGTTTGGTCCGACGTGGTTTTGGTTGGTGGCCGTATGGCGCTGTCGACCACTGATTCGAGAAGGCGCCGACGAGATTCTTGAAACATCCTTCCGGCGTGCATTCCGGCATTGCTGCAATCGGGAACAGATTTCGGGAATATATGCAATCGTGTCTCTCCGAATCAGACTACCTCCACGGCCTTAGCACCAACTGTATAAATACCCTCGCTATGACCTTCCTCGTCCCAATAACAGCTGATGACGCAGACGCAGTAGTATCAAAACAATACTGATCTGAGCATTATTATTCAAACTACGCAATACATGTAATTTACTTTCAAGTCACATTATAAACTGATATAAGTCGTTGGCGAACATCTACGTTTTTTACATTGTGCCATCATTAACAACTGTCAAATATTTCCGAATTTGCTATTTTCTTGTAAGGTTATATTTCAGAATTGAAAGCAATGCATATATAATTAGTTGTCTCGTCTGTATGAAGTAAGGCTCATACATTTCCTACATATTTTATTTCAGAATATTATAACACATTATACTGATATTCCTCTAATGCTATCTAATGTATCCATTAACGATGAAATTAATGTCAAAATGTTCGTATAAATGTTATTTTGAAACATCAATCGAATAAAGTTGACTTTATAAGAGTATGCTTCGTTGAAGCAAAAACGTTCAATCGAGTTATCTGTGTGTCATGGC